GGGCTGAGAGGAGGCCAGAACGCGGCTGAGAGGAGGCCAGAACGCGGCTGAGAGGAGGCCAGAACGCGGCTGAGAGGAGGCCAGAACGCGGCTGAGAGGAGGCCAGAATGCGGCTGAGAGGAGGCCAGAACGCGGCTGAGAGGAGGCCAGAACGCGGCTGAGAGGAGGAGAGAACGCGGCTCAGGGGAGGAGAGAACGCGGCTCAGGGGAGGAGAGAACGCAGCTCTAGGGCTTCATTAGCTAGCAGAAAGAAGAGGAAGTGACCAGCAGCAGCAGCAGCAGCAGCAGCTGTGTGCGCGGCGCGCCCTCATCAGAGGCGCCGCTTCCATCGGTTCTGACCCAGCGATCAGCTGATCGATGCCAAGGAGCAGTGACACAAAGATGGCTGCTCACTGCTCCGTCGCCTCCTCCTGCGATTCATTAATAAAGTGGAACCAATTATGGGATCATTTCCACTTCATCCACAATTAACTAATTATGGGAAGGGCCGCTCAGTAGGTTCCCTAGAAAGGCTCTTTCTGTTCTCCCTGAGCATGCGTGGGTTCTCTCTGGGTACTCTGGCTTCCTCCCACCGTCCAAAAACACATGGCTGTTAGGTTCACTGGCTCCGCTAAATTCTCCTTAGGTGTGAATGATTGTTTGTTTCTATGTTGCCCTGCAATGGACTGGAGACCTGTCCAGGGCGGACCCCCCCCCCTCTCTCCAGGGGCGACCCCCCCCCTCTCTGTCCAGGGGGGACAGCTCACCTGTAGACAGCTGGCTCTAGCAGCCCTCACCCTGTGTCAGAAAATGGATGGATGGATAATTATGGGATGTTTGGACAACAGCAGAGCTTTAAGGTTTCCTGTCTTTCTAGAGCTGCTGGTCCAAACGGGTCAGATAGCAGCAGAGGTCTACAGCGCCCCTAGTGGCTGGCTGTCACTCTGTGTTGCTTTTAATAAATATTATTTTTCTCTGATCTAAAGTCAGTTTTTTAGTTTTTCTAGTTTCACTGAACTGTTTCTGTAGATCTGGATGTTTAGATTCTCTCTGAGGGGAATTCAGGGTCCCAGGGTCGAGTTTTCTCTGCTCATGTAACATTTCTGACGTCATGCCACTCGTCTGACGTCATGTCAGTCATGTAATGAATGAGTTTTAGTGGAAAGAGAAAAACCAGAACCAGAGGAAGAAAAGATGACAGGAGGCCTTCCCTCATTAATTAATTAATCTTCATCCCAGTCTGCGTCTCAGCGGTAATTCTACAATAATCTGCCCATCATCATCATCACCATCATCATCATCACCATCACCTCGATGATCTTGATGAACCGGGGGAACACCGGGTTCCGGCTCACAGCGATCAGCGGCACGTTGGGAAACACCTCCGGAACCAGCATGGGGGTCAGAGCCGTCATCTGGGCTTCGCTGTAAGGGGCTTCCCCGTCTCCTCCTCCCGCCTCATCTCCCCCAGAGGCGGCGCTGTCTCCACCGTCCTCCCCGGAGAAGCCCGACCCGCTGGACCGGGTACCGAACCATCGACTCAGCGCGTGTTCACCGCGGCTGGACGCGGGGAAGCGGCTGAGAGGGAGCGGGGCGGCCGCGACCCGCAGCCACCGCCGGGCCGCTGGCAGCCCCGGGCGGGCCGCGGGCAGCGCGCTGAGGCCGCGGCTCTGCGCTGCGGCTCCGGTCAGCAGCGGCGCCGCTCGGTGCCTGAAGGGCCGAACAGCTCCAGCCATCCTCCAGCAGGCGGCCATGTTGCTCTTCAAGGTTCTTACTCAAACAGCACGTGACTCCAACTTCCGTCAATAGTTCAACTTCTACTTCTTCTACGACCGTTGGTGACTGACGTCATGGAGCATCACCGCCACCTGCTGGTGGGGAGGGAGCTTACTGTTCTATAATTGTTTTTCTAAAGTTTATTAGAGATTTTTTGTAATACAAGAAGAAATAAGTAACATTTCCAGTGAACAGTCGCCAGGGGTTTGAACAAAAGTAGTTATTTTAAATAAAAAATAACTGAATAGACGTAAAAATAGCAAAAGTGATTATGTAAAGCTGCACATAGAGGCATGTAAAGCATATTTATTACATAATGTTTTGAATTCAGAGCATAAAGTTTTAGCAGCCTTTTTGTTAATGGAAGAGGATAAAGTAGAAAAATAAATTGTTGCTTCCTTTAAAAATGGTAAATGGTAAATGGCATGTACTTATATAGCGCCTTTATTCAAGTTAGGAGACTTGACCAAAGCGCTTTACACTACATTCATTCACCCATTCACACACACTGATGGTGGTGAGCTACATTGTAGCCACAGCTGCCCTGGGGCTCACTGACAGAAGCGGGGTTGCCATACAGTGGCGCCACCGGGCCCTCT